AAGGAAAGGTAATATTGACTTAGACTTATTAACTGATATTCAAGGAAAGGTAATATTGACTTAGACTTATTAACTGATATTCAAGGAAAGGTAATATTGACTTAGACTTATTAACTGATATTCAAGGAAAGGTAATATTGACTTAGACTTATTAACTGATTTTCAAGGAAAGGTAATATTGACTTAGACTTATTAACTGATATTCAAGGAAAGGTAATATTGACTTAGACTTATTAACTGATATTCAAGGAAAGGTAATATTGACTTAGACTTATTCAATTCCACATTTGTTTGGTATCAGAAAAGCGTAGTTCTTTCAACATTAAATTTTCATGAAGCTGAAACTTGAGAATACGAATTCTTTAAGAGACTTAACAAACTTAATTGAAAAGGAACAAGGCAAAAATGCTGTTTTTTTTTAATGCCAAGCAATCCTTGTTTGAAAATTCACGAAGCTTATAAAGGTTGTTGATATCATATATACAAGAAAACATTGAAAAGATTTAACGTTGTCATAGACATTGAAAACACTGGTACAGATGTTCAGAATTATTTCCCCAGAAATACTTAGAGAACATCTCAAATTATTTTATGTTAAAAATGTGAAACTCTAGATAATCCTACACTGTGTAAATAATTGATTACTGAATTTTAAACGAGTGAAAAGTTTAGGTAAATAAATTCTGGACGTGTAAGTTCTGACGTAGTGTCGGAAAGTAAAGATTCACCAATGTCAACTTCAGATAAATGTAGGCTAAACTCATAGACAAAAATATCGTCCAGTGATTTTATATATTTATAAGAAACTCTCTTTCAAAACAGGTAATTATTTACGTTTCATCGTCTTTTCAAAATAGCGAGAGACTATCCGCGTGAGGAACATGCGCAAATCAATGGGTTCCCTCTTCCAATTTATGGGTGTGGGTGTATAATATTGTACATTTATGGTAAAAAGCCATGGAAGCAAACAAATCCATTTTTATTCCTATCTAGTTGGTCGTACAAACATTTTTACGAGTTAAAACTAAACAGTGAATTATTGTGTATTAACACTTAATCCCAAGTATTTTTACTGTGTTCCATTCATTTTAAAGCTGAAATCTCCCCACCCCTTGATAACTTGCAGCAAGCAATCGGATGTATCTCTTCGTAGTTGTTGACAATTTTATAACAAAGAATAAAAAGGCATAAGAAAAAGCAAGAGTTTGAGCTCACCCACCAACTGTACACGTCACTGGTAATCGCGAAACTTGAACGGTCTCTCGAGAATCATTTAGTTCACTCAACATTTATTATTGTAATGATTTTGTTTTGGTTACTGTGACATTTCTACAACATTATTGTAATGATTTTGTTTTGGTTACTGTGACATTTCTACAACATTATTGTAATGATTTTGTTTTGGTTACTGTGACATTTCTACAATGTTATTGTGATGATTTTGTTTTGGTTAGTGTGGTATTTCTACAATATTATTGTAATGATTTTGTTTTGTTTACTGTGACATTTCTACAACATTATTGTAATGATTTTGTTTTGGTTAGTGTGGTATTTCTACAATGTTATTGTAATGATTTTGTTTTTGTTACTGTGGTATTTCTACATTATTATTGTAATGATTTTGTTTTGGTTACTGTGACATTTCTACAACATTATTGTAATGATTTTGTTTTGGTTACTGTGACATTTCTACAATGTTATTGTGATGATTTTGTTTTGGTTAGTGTGGTATT